AGGTTTGGATCAGAGCTTGGTAGTAAGGGAGAAAAACAGGCAGGAGTAAGGTGTTGTACGAATAAGTAACAGGTTTGGCAGCAGCTTACATATAGTGGGAGAAAAGGAGTTACATGTGTCACCATATACAGTTTAGTGATGGGGAGGAGAAGGACAGAATTATCAACAATGATAAAGAAGGGAGGAAGAATTAAAAAGCAAAGACTGTAAGGCAGAGTAATACGCTGTATGGGACGTCAGAGGCATGCATAAATGTGGGCCTGAACAGTGAGGGAAAGACAGAGGTGGAGAAGTAATTTCAGGAGTCATTGACATGATGGTACTGGTAGTGACAGCCGTAAAGCACACAAGGAACCCAGGGATAGGGTGTAGAGAGAAAAGAGGATCCTGAAACTAAAGCCCTCTGGGATACCAGAAAACAACAGCAGCAGCAATAAAGGAGATCAGGAGGAAGATGGTGGGGCACACGGAAAGAGCAGTCAAAAAGACAAAAACAGAACCAGGAGAACACAGAATCATGAAAGTCCACAGTTCTTACTTGCTCATTGTAGTCAAGATGGTTCAATAAAGGGCTAAGTTTTCAGCTCTATTGTGTTTACATGCAAATGTGTCTATACAGACAATAAATTTGCACACACAAATATATGTGTATTTCTCCTATTTGCACACACAAATATGGTTTTCTGTGAATAAGCAAAAGTTAGGCTGCCTGAAAGTTTGATGTTTAAAGAAATGTCTGTCATTAACAGCCAGTCATTGATTTAAATTGTGTTTATATTCTCAGATGTGACAGTAAACCACAGTGGAATTTCTTTGTTAATAAACTATTTTTCTAACTGCCAATACTGCAAACCCAGTCTAAGATCTGAGTGTGTTTTCTCCTTTACGCATCACAGATAACAGTTATGGCATATGAGATACTACCCCTCTCCTTAACAGTAGCCTTCTACTCTTTGACTTGTAGAAATAGTTGAAATCCATAGTTTTCACTGCATCTTAGCCCTTTAACTAGCTGCACAAATTTGCTCAGGGACTTCTGTGAGACTGCTTGTGTGCTTAAAATTATGGATTTGATCAAGTGCTTTGCTGGATCAGTCCATTCGCCTTTAATTTTGCCATCAGTCTAGTTTAATTTTGGATGTCTCTGTTCCACACTCTGAATATTAAGCTGTGCTGTACAGTTCCCTTAGCTTATTGGAAATGGTGTCTGCAAAAAGTGAACACATACTCCTTTGGAAGCTCATGCACAAAAGGATTTGTTTCCCTTTATGCTAAGAAGTTTAATTGTTTCAGCTTCAAAGACTAGCGCCAATTTGAAGTTTAGTGTAGTGTTTCTCAAGTTTTTAAGATGGAAGGCCCCTTACATGAAGTCAAAAATGGTCACTACCCTTCTTACACTTACATATTGACTTTTACTTGTATATTATCATGCTAATAAGGAAAAGCATGCTACATAAGGAAAAGTATGTGTGCTTGTGTTTCAAAGAGGTTGACAAAGAACATTTGACCTTGAAGGGTAAGGGTGTGGCCCCAATCCCAGTGCTCCGATGCACTGGGTGACCAGCCCTACAGCACTAGATGACGCAGCCACAACACTCCCAACCCTCGTGCTCTGGGTGTCACGGTTGTAGAGCTCCCATGCTCTGGTGTGCTGCGTGGCATGGTCGGAGCACCAGATGGGCAACATGACCCAGCACCAGCTGACCCAGTCCATGCTGGAAGACAAGCTGGCAACAACCTCAGCCAGCCTGTACTAGGGCAGGGCACTGAAAGAAAACTGTAGGCAGGGGCCTGTCAAAGTGGCAGAGCATGGGCAGTGCCATGCCAGGCTGTTTGGGGAGGCACAGCCTGCCTCTTCCTACAATCAACTGAGTGATTGGGCAACAAAATGGCACATGATATTTAATGTGGATAAGATGTAAAACATAAATTGAGAAATGCACAGGATTACCCCCAATTCAAACCTATCACTGCAGTAAAGCTTTGACTTGTTCTTATTAGCTCATGGAATGGTTTGTTTTATTGTTTAAGTTAGTTATATGCCATATGAAGCTTTGTCTACATGAAGAAATCTATCAGCATACTATCCAGGCATAATTATACCAAAATAGTTACACTGGTATAACTTCCACCATGGGCTTATCTAATTTAGCTTACTTCGCAAATAAAGCTAATCTGAAAAAAAGGTTAGTTATCCTTAATAACAATGTCCTTCTTGAGAAGAATAATTGTAACAGTATAATTACTGTATATTGGAATATTATTGCTGGTATTTTTTCTCATGTAGACAAATCCTTAGTCACATAGTGCCTTGTTTTACATGTTCACTTGATTGAAGAAAGACTTGTCAGAGTCCACCTTAATGAAAAAATGTTTTGACTAATCCAGTCAGTCCATAAGAAAAGACAACAGTAAGATGAACTAGTTTGCTACCAGCTTTAGTTACTGTTAGGTTTGTGCAAACCACGAAAACCCTTTTCTGGTTATGGAAACCCTATTCTAGTTATTCCAGACCTAACGTGCTCTTGTTTTCAGAGAAAGTTACTTATTACTTACTATTTATTCATATTGCAAAAGTGCCCATAAGTACAATCAGGATCAGCCCCATAGTGCTAGGAACTGTGCCGACATGTTGTCATTGGGATATTTAAGTGTCTATTTAGACTGATATGACCGTCTTTTGATTTAAAAGACATTATTTATACATTAATGTTGGCCTGTTAAACTAAGATTTACTTCCAGATGATGGTTTTATTCTGACTTCTAGTCACATCCTTTAAAGAACTGTTTGTTTGATTTGTTAAAAATAAGATGAAATCCAAACCTAAGTAATTCATGAAAGGGACTATTTTTCTATTCTCTAAAAATGTTACTAATTTACCAAGGATATACTGTATCTTTATCTTTTGTTGCTAATAGTAGTTAAATAAAAGCTGAGATAGATAATTAAAAGCTGAAGATTATGAATATTTTTAGGCCTATCAACTGGTATATTTTGCACAGTGGTAAATTGCAATTCATTGTGATTATGAAGTGGACTATTTTGTTTTTCCACAGAAAACAGTTTTTAAAACTATTCCCCTACCCTCCATTAGTTTCTTTCTACAAGTTAGCTATGTAAATAATTGTAAGAATATTACTTTATCATTCTGAAAAAGCAAATTTTCAATTAAGGCCTTTCCCCATTATTAGTTTAGGACATACACCTGTGTTCTCTTTTTTTTCCTATTCACACATTATTGCACTTGTGGATATACTGACACTAAAAGTTTTGAGACCACAAATTTTACTTAAGAGTTTTTGTGCAGTATATTTTAGTTGTTGTAAAGCACTTGTAATATCATACAGAAATGCTTTTTGAATTTTCAATTAAGGCCTTTCCCCATTATTAGTTTAGGACATACACCTGTGTTCTCTTTTTTTTCCTATTCACACATTATTGCACTTGTGGATATACTGACACTAAAAGTTTTGAGACCACAAATTTTACTTAAGAGTTTTTGTGCAGTATATTTTAGTTGTTGTAAAGCACTTGTAATATCATACAGAAATGCTTTTTGTGAGGTAACACCCTTCTCCCCAATCCCAATCCTAGATTGCCAGCCCCAACCACATTTATAGGGCCTTTTTTCTTTACATTTCTTATCTTCCTGATCAGCTTTGTGTTCCAGGAAATCTTGACACATGAACTTGCCCCTCCCCCTAAGCATGAGGCCCATTTTCCTGGGTGCAAGTGTGTTTTATTCTCTCAGGACTAAAGCTCCCCTTGCATGCTTGAATGCTATTTATCTACTTTCTGTGCTAGAGACCTAGAAGGCTACCACGCTCAATCACTTGTCCTTTAACCTGCATCTCACACTACGGCCTCTGTGGGATTTAAATTCTACCCCGGAAGCTAGGGCTCCGTCGCGCTGCACGGCGGGAAGTGTCGTTCACCCCGCTTTTGCATCGTGCCGGGAAAGCCGGTAAAAAACCACAAGTCCCCTGAGCCTTTGCGGCGGCCACCGCCCTGCTACGCAGCCGCAGTGAAGAGGGCTGGTTTTTGAATCAGCGGCGTTGTTAGGCCTCTGTGGGATTTAAATTCTACCCCGGAAGCTAGGGCTCCGTCGCGCTGCACGGCGGGAAGTGTCGTTCACCCCGCTTTTGCATCGTGCCGGGAAAGCCGGTAAAAAACCACAAGTCCCCTGAGCCTTTGCGGCGGCCACCGCCCTGCTACGCAGCCGCAGTGAAGAGGGCTGGTTTTTGAATCAGCGGCGTTGTTATTGACGCCATATTGCTGGTGTGGGAGAGTCACAGAGGGAAGCGTCGGTGCCGCCGCTGCCATCGCTTTTCATCGGCGGCCCCTCTGCGGCGAGCCC